ACTGGAAAGTTAATCACTCCCTTCCTTGCTATAAAATGTCTACCTTTACATTTCCAACCCTCACAATCAGTCCTGATAACAATTATTCACTATTGTATTACAAGAGACCCGTCTGCATTTCATTTCATCAACTCCGCCTAGACAGAATGGATACTACTCACTGGAGATTCTGCCTTCCTCCAGGCCCCCTGGATCTAGGTTCCCTCTTGAAAGCTTGTAAGCCAGTTACAGTTCTTGCCTTTGTAGCCCCCTACCCCCCCATTTTGGGTAGCCAATGTCCAAGTTGCCCATCCCTGTCTACTCTGTGTGTGTGTGGGGGGGGGGGGTGGGGGGGGGGGGGGGGGGGGGGGGGGGGGTGATTCTTGCTGTAAGGATTTGTTCCCTCTTTTGAGCGACTGTGTGCTGAAGATTGGGAGGGGGGAAGTGTAGGGGGCAGACTTGCAGGGTATACCCTTTGGTTGGTTGATGATGCATGGAGGGGATTGTAATAATGGCAATGATGATATACGATAGAATGAATGTAAAACTAATGTTCTCCCATGTAAACTATCATATAATTCACAATAAAACATTAAAAAATAAAGTAAAATGATTTTCCTCTTTCCAATGTGTGCTTTACAAGCTAGGGCTTTTATATATCTTTTTCACACATGTTTCATCTGTTTTTCTTTATCTTATTTTAGTGTTTGTGTGTGTTTCTGTTAAGTTAACTTAATGGTGTGCATTGTTTGAATCTTCCAGATTGCTGCGCTTTACATATGGTCCTTCATTTCCTCCATTTAAAGTTCCTGATGAGGATGCCAGTCTGATTCCTCCTGAAATGGATAATGAGTGTGTTGCACAGACATGGTTTCGCTTTTTGCATATGTTAAGGTACTGTTGTTTTAGTATTTCATGTGTTGCTGACCCAGTGAGTGTCTTAGTGAAGGAATCATGCTGTATGTAACTCTTCGGGAGTTCAGAATGTGGATGCTAAGGACTATCCATCAAATTGATTCAAGTACATCTGTATCATGTATCTCCTACTCTTTTCCTCCCAGCAGGGTTAGGTGTCTTCAGCTTTTCTACGCCTGCACTCTTGGGGACTTGTTCCCTGTAGTGGATGTAGCACGTGTTATTCACCAGCCTGTTGTTGCAACTTGGGTGATGATATTGTCCTGCACTTTGCCACACTCTGTGATCACCGTAGACTGCCCAGCTTCTCTTCTTGGCTAGCAGTTCAGTTCTTAGAGCTTCCTTTGTAATAGCCTTGTTTCAAATTTCACAGAGCAGTATGCCTTTCCTTTCTTCCTCTTATCATTTCTTTATTACAATGCTGTGCAGTTCAATTCCATCACTTCCTGCCTCTCCCTGTACTGGTCCCATCCATGTGAGAACTTTTTTTGTTGTGAACTGAGTTTCGATTCTTAAACTTTCTCTTCTCTTTTCAGTGTTGAATTTTCCTCTGAAGACACCACTTTCTTTGCCACCTTTTCAGCTAGCAGTCATTCCATCTGACTCTTAGGATACTAATTCTTGCTGTCTTCTCCTGAATGTTGGCTGTTTTTTCTTTTCTAGAGCTAGAGAACTTCTTCACAGTTCTTAGAATGATAACTCACAATTTTTTTTTACTGTCTTTACCTCTTCAAGTTCATCACTCTTTCTTGATCCTAGCACTTGACTCTTTTTCCCCTGGTTCTATCCTGGGGACTCCAGTCTTCATTTTGTGAACTTAAAAAAAAATATTTTGGTCTCAATTATTTGAGTTCCTTAATTCTAATTACTTCCATCTCCACTCTGCTTCTGTTGCCCAAGGGTGCTTTCTATCTTGTCATTCCTTTGCTGCAGTCCCATTTGTTAGTAAACCTTCCTTCACCTCCATTGTTTAGAAAAGCTTGCTCTAGGCGTAATTTATTTCATCAAATTTAAGATAACCTCAGTTTTAAAAAGCCTCATTTCTGTATACACCTTTTTTTGGTCAAAAATAAAATGTCAGTTAATTGTAAGACACCGTTAATTATTCAAACGCACTGCCATCTAGTCGCTTCATCTCATAGCAACCCTTTACGAGAGCAGACCACCTCATCTTTCTTCAGAGTTGACCTTTGGGTTAACAGCTACACATTTAACTAGTCCATTGGTTATGAAATATTAGTCTTTTAATATTTTCTGAATTGTGTTTAATTTTTAAAACTTTCATGCTTTGGGTACTTTAACAATAACAAACCAACCCTAAACAGGAACACTTGACCATGCTTTGTTGCAGTTTTTAATAGATTCTTTGTTAAAACTTTGAAATAAGTCATTGTGGTTGAGCGGGGGGCGGTTGATGTGGTGCTTAGATAACCTTTCCTAATTTTTTCAATATTAATTGTTCTCTTCAGGCTTTATCTTTCTTCTTGAGCTGAGTTTGGTCAAGGTATTTTACTCAGGTCGTTTTATTTAGCTATATGGAACAGAAACCTACTTAAAGTACACACAGTGAAGGAGGAGTTGTTATATGATGTCTTATTTTGCCCCCAAAAGTTAACAAGCAGACCTCATGATGGGGAGGGATTAAGGTAACCTTGAGACAGGCCACTCTACCATCTCTCTCTGGCTTTTCTGCATTTCTCCTGTATCCACACTGTTTTCTTTCTCCTCAAGCCTGTTGAGTCTTTGTTTCCTCCTGCCTTCGGTGGACATGGCAACACTGCAGTGATTGCTCAGTGGTGCAAACAGCAGTGATACATCTAGCCATTTCAGTTCACTGGGATGTTCCCTTTGGTCATATTCTCAAAATGGATAAATTGAGACAAATTATTGTTAGTTAACATTAGTTATAGGTCACTAGCAGACATCTTGGCAGTCTCCTTTTAGTTCTATAGCCCCAATAAGTTGTAAGTAGGTGGGAGGCAGGTTCAGTGGCTACTATGGTCATTGGCAGATTTCCTGGGAAGAGGGTGAATATAATGGGGAGATAGGAACTAAAATTATGTCTAGTATGGTAATGCTTTACCTTTTCCAGGAAAAACCAAAAATGGTTTTCATTGACTTTAACACTACTGTTTTCAAATGCTTGTCTTTGGACTTGTTTGTGCATGGCCACCTGCATTAGAGATAGTGGAAAGATTGTTAAATATACCTGTCCTCCAAGTCCCACCCAGATACTCTGTTTGAGTTCATTTAGATGGACCCCCTGATTTCTAACAGACTCCCCAAGTGTGTCCGATGCACAGAAGTTTGGAAGCTTCAGGAATACAGTTTTTGTTAACTGTTCCATATCCTTTGCTACTCAATTCTCATTTAAACTTTTATTTAATTTTTGTAAACTATTTTCTAAATATTCGAATGTTGATAAAATTTATATATAAAGGAGGAGGAATATAACCCTTCCTCTTCCCAATTTACTCAAAAGTTCTAGCTGTTCCACAGGAGAAAGATGAGACTCTCTGCTCCCGTAAAGATTTACAGCCTTGGAAACCCTATACAGGGTCGCTATGGGTCGGAACCGACTCCACAGTACAAACTGACTCCGACCAACTTCCCAATATCCATTATCCAGTAGTCATGAATCAGTAGATAGGAGTTTGGATGGATTGTTGTAATCTGTTCCAATCTTTCTGCCTGGTTTTTTCACTTCTAGAGAGATGAACTATATAATCCCCAGCAGGTACTGCTACTAACCTTCTTATTTCTTCTACCTCATATAACTTATAAGACCATATTCTATGCTTCTTTGGGTACTCTGTGCTGCTATGCTCTCCTTTCTCTGTTTGAAATAAGAGTCTTTGGACAAAAAAAGTTTCAAGGACTGGGCATGTATGTCTCACCCCAGTTCCATTGTTCTTGCGTGCATGCATATTCCCTTTAGGTATTGTCTATGGTTTCATTATCAATATGACGTCGAGTTAGAGAGGTTATTTAATAGATAGCTAAGCAGATACTATTTTGGGTGGAAATCTAAATGTTTTTAAAGGGAAATATTTAAAAATTATTTGTAGTTAAAATAAAATATTGTTTGGGAATATCTGGTTTTAGTATATATACATGAACACAAGATAAACTATAGTACCAAATCTTGATTTTTCTACAACTTGAAAAATCTATGTTTAGAAATGTTATAGTAATGTAAATTGTTCTCCTCAGGTTTTATGTTGATTTGTTTCTATCTTTACCATCTCATTGTTAAATTACAAGCGCATTAGAAAAAAATACCCTTGTGTGCTATTAAAACTTACAACTTTTAGTCTTACTTTGATATTTATTCTCCTAGTACATGAAGTTTTTGTAAGTAAGCATGGTGCTGATCTTTTGTGAAGAATTACTCAGGTTTGAGTCTCTCACAAATCAGTCTTAGCAGTCAAAGAAATAAGCACAGACAGCCCTATTTTATTTTATTTTTTTAATTTAAGGTTTTTATTGTGGATTGAGTGAATGAAAGTTTACAGGGCAAATCATCAGTTTCACATTCAGCAATTCATATAACTTGTTTCATTACATTGATTATAATCCCCTCCATATACCATCAGTTAAAAGTATTTCTCTTTATCCATTTTAGCTTTTTTTTAAAA